CTCTTCAATGTGGACAAAACTGGCACTTGATGTGTTTTCTAAGTGACCTGCCCCACAACAGCTTGACTGCCTTTCTTTTGTCCACGCATCAGGTCCATTGAAGCCAAGCTCCACCCTGGAGAAGACCACACAATCCCCTTTGTGGGTGACCACCCATGAGCGATGCTAAGCATTCTCTCTCAGCCTTGAGCCAAGGGGGTGTGGGTCTGGCATTGCATGCTGTGGGCTGCATGATGCAGGTGGCCTCCACCTCTGCTTGACAAAGAAGTCTGCTTTTTCATGGCTCTGGACTTACGGATTACCCGTTGGGGCTAGACCAGCCCATTCCCTTCCTAATTTGGTGAAGAACATTCTATTAAGAATTCTTTGTCAATTTCTGCATAAATAAAGGGATTCCTGGTGTATGCTTTATCTTTGCTCTCTCGCCTTCTAGCATGATAGCAGGATGGGGAAGACTGCACAGGGGAAGGAAAAAGATCTTATGTAGAAGGAGACACTGAGACAGAAGAGAGGAGATAACAGAGGAAGCAAGAGGGAGTGGATCAAGGGTCCAAGCGGAAGGTTGGTTGGCCTTAGAGAGAAAAAACCTGTGAGTTGGGAAAGATGCATAAAAATACTCAGAAAATTTGAGGAAAGAAAGGAGATACTATGAGGAAGCTCAAGGTCACAGAGCCATCTCACCACACCACCCACCACCCCCGTTTTGTGAAAAAAATACTTCCATGTCTGTGTGGTCTTTTTGTTGCCAGCCCATACCTTGCAGAGGGATCCCGATTCCACCACCCCTGCGGGATGTAGGCAGTACCCCTTTCTCTATTCCTGTTCCTTGTTGCTAAAAGTCACCCCAGATGACAGATGGGAATGGTGGTGTTGGCGATGGTACATTTTCTTAGAGTTTCTAGTGTCTGATACTGTCCTGCATGCATCATCTTAAACACTGATAACTTCACTATACTGGAATGCTATTCAATTGCCTTCCACATTGGTTCTTGTTTTCTTTTCTTTCAGTACTAGGGATTGAACCTCGGGGCACTTTACCAGAGTTTACACCTCTAGATTTATTTTTTTTAAATTCTGAGACAGGGTCTCACTAAGTTGTCCAGGCTGGCCTCAAACTTGCAATTCTCCTGCTGAGCTCCCTGAGCTGTTAGGATTACAAGCACGCACAACCACACCTGTGTTTCTATATCGTTATCTCTATCATGAATGAATTCTTTATTATATTCCTCATAATGTCTATTTCAAAGGTTTAACACCTTTCTGGAATCCAAAGCCCACTCCCAATTCTGAGTTCACCTTGCTTCATGTTTTGGAAAGATAAGGATCTTACAACTTGAACTTCCTCATAGTATCTCCTTTATCTCCTCAAATTTTCCGAGAATTTTTATCTAACCTTTATTCATTGTTCCCAACGTACAGTTTTTTCTCTCTAAGGCCAACCAACCTTCCGCTTGAACCCTTGATCCACTCCCTCTTGCTTCCTCTGTTATCTCCTCTCTTCTGTCTCAGTCTCTCTGTCTACATAAGATCCTTTTCCTTCCCCTGTGCAGTCTTCCCCATCCTTTAAACCTGCCTTCTTCCCTGCAGTTATAGGCTTTTCTCTCCCCTAGAGAAAGTGCAAAAAGTGGTCAGGACCTTCTTTGCCTTTGGGGGAGCAGCCTTCCATGGGGCTGTAGGTTTCACTCCACTGGATCCCTTCTCAAAATTAACTCACTCTGGCAGAGGGGCCGTGGGAAGGACTGTTTGAACCTTTGGGGAATCTTGCAATGGGCAGAGAGCTGGAAGCTGTGTGTAATGTCTGTAAGTACTAGGCATTGCCTTTGATGGGATAGGGAGAGGGAGCAGTCTTTTTGACTTATCTCTTAGTGTTGGGCCATTTGTATTTGATTGCAGTGTGAACGAGGACAGGAAAGCAGCTCCATTTGGATAGGCTCTGATGTACTTTCCTCAGTCCCTACTCTTGCTTAACCAATCATCATGAAGTCCTGATAATACTGTCACTTTAACACCTTCGGCCACTTACACCCACCATGACAGCTCACCCAGTCACCTGGTCCCTGCTGCACGCTGCTGTCAGAACGCCCTTCTGAAACACAACCTTGCTCCAACTCTTCAGGAGCTTCCCTGCCTCAGGAACAGGTCCAAGGTCCTGAGGTCCATCATGACCTGACCCTGCATACCTGCTCCCGCTTCTACCTGTTCCACACTGAGATCCAGTGATGTCAACCAATTGTTCACCCAATTCCCCAAGCCCAACCTCTCTCCAGCTCTCTCTCCTTTGCTCTTTGCCCTTTGCTCATCCTTTCCCCTCAACCCAGAAAAATCTCCTCCCCCAATTTTCTTCCATTCATTCTCCAGGACAATGCAAGCACCATCTTCCCCTGGTTCCAGGGGCCTTCCCCAAGCATCCTTATCCCAGGTTGGCTAGATGTCTTTTCCCAGGTGCGCTAGGGGCACCCCAGGCATTCTTTATCCAGGTATTTTTCATGTAAGCTGCTCTTATCTGATTCCTATCCATATCACACACCAGACTATTAGCTTTTTATCAGGAACTGCATCAAATTTCCCTTTGTAGTACCCATGTTTAGCATAGGGCCTACACACATAAATGTCTCTATAAAGAATAAATGAATAAATTAGATTTTGAATAAGAGACAGAAATTGATATCTTTAACATTTGATACACCTAAGTTCTATATATTGTCATGATTTTATATGGTAAAAAGATGAAATTTTCCATGGATTAAGGGCAAGAGGTAATTAGTGTTAAAAAGAATTAAATAGACCATGTACACTACTCCTACTACTAACATTTGTTGACATTTAACTCTATCCCCAGCAATATTCTAAGCATTTTACATGAAGATTCAACCCTTAAAATAATCCCCATTTTATAGAAGAAACTTCAGAAAAGAAAAATTAACTTATCCAGTAAGTGGGTGAGCAGGGATTCAAGCCTGGCAGACTTAGTGGTTTTGATTCCTACATCTTCCTACTGCAGAGCCCTCTTTTTGCAGAAAAAAAAAAATCAATGGGCATTTGATTCACTCAGCAATTATTCTTTGTTTTCTCCTTAATTATTCTATGTTACCTTAATTATTCTTTGTTTTTTCCACCTTTACCGGAAACTCACAAATTTAAATATATCAATTTATCAACATTAAATGATGCCTGACATTTTTTCCTGGTGAACTCATAAAAACATCTATTTGGCTAACTCCTTGCCAGTTGCTAAAAGGAAGTCACCATGTGGGAAAGGTAGCCGGGTAAGTGTCAATTACACACATCGTGCTTCCTTTGGAATTAATTAATTTTTCTACCTCCTAAGGAAAGGGCTGTTTAAGGTATTGATGCCTATTTGTGAGGTTGTAATTTTTTTTAAGTGACTGTTCAAAGAAACCCAAACTACTGACTGAAACTCAAGATTATAAAGACCCCATGAGAAGCCTCTGCCACCTATGAGGCTTTGGACATCAAAGGGAGTTAACAAAGATAAAGAGAAATTAGAGGAAGCAAACGAGAGAGCACGAGAGAGATACAATTCTCTATGGTGAAAGGAGAAGAGTTTTTAAAAAGCCAACATAGATCTGGTCAGGTCAAGTCACCCAAACACGCAACGCTGGTTAACTTTCCAAAGGAGTCTTAGAAACTATTCTGCAGCAGATCTCAGAACAGGAAGCCAAGGAGGAGACACTGGATTTGACTTACCGTATTTAAGTGTTAGCTTTGTTTGGGGCTTGGTTTATGTTTTATTGTATTTCATTTTCCTTTGGGGTGGTTGTGCTGTGTCTGTGAAGGTGGGTGGTAGGGGGCCATTCCTGCTGTATAGGAACAAAAGCGAGGGAAGAAAGAGGATTTCAGTTCCCTGGGGCTTAAACACAAGTTCCCAGTGCTTCAAAAAGGCACCAAGCACAAGAATTGTTCTGTGTTTCTCTATCCAGAGGCAAGCCACAGAAATAGAAATGGCAGAGAAAAGAGGAAAGAGTAGGAAAAATTTATCCAAAATGGAATCTGGTGTTAGCTGGAGGAAATCAGCAAAATATAGTTACCTTGAAACTCTGCCTCTGGCTAGCTGTTGCCAATGTTTGACTTTTCGATTTGTAAACAGTTTTCTGCAGAATATATGAATATTTCTAGAACTTGTGACTGATGCTATTTAATTTTCTTCACCTCCAGTACTTCGGATGTCTTTTAATAATAATGGATTGAAGCTTATCTGTACCCTGGCTGGTTTTATAAAATCAAATAATTGCTGAGCAGAGGAAGTAGGTTTATTTGCATTTTTTTTTCCTTAAAGAGAAATTCTGCCACCCTCTGGACAGAAACTAAAGATCTATTTCTAAGTGACTCACCAAGAACACTGTTTTATGCACTTGCCCCAGAAAATAACATTTAAAAAAAAAAAATCTACCCTTTAAAAAAGGGAGGGAAAGAGGGGTGAGAACCACAGTTACTTTGATAACATAAACATTAGCTAAAAAATCACTTTAAAATGCTCAATTCACTCCAAGAGATCTTTAACAAAAGGGGAAAAGGTCTCAGAACACATTAAAGAAAAAAATGTTTAGAATTTAAAGAGTAAAATTTCCAAAAATCACTTTATAGCCTATATTTCTGTTCCCAAGTCTAAGACAGCCAAGTAAAGATTTTTCCACATAATCTCAGACATGGCTGCTTTCCTTTATTGGTCAAAAGAAAAATTTGCATTTTTATTAAATACAAATATATACATGTATCTATTGGTTTTTAGCGAGAGCAAACCAAACATGAGGGCAGTGAGATTTCAGCTATTTGAGAGAAATTAGCCAAAAAAGCACAAGCACAAAAGCACAAGCCTGCCTGCTCATCCACTGGGCGTGGAGTGCTTAATGTCACATAAATGAAACTTTCCAAAATGCAGGGACGTGATCATTACCAATAACAACACTGGGCAAATCAAAATACATGCCGTTTTTCTAAATAACGGGAGGGAGGATGCAGAATGACATGAAGTACCATACCTGATTTTAGCAGCAGAGTTTAGCTGCTTCTGCTCCTGGAGCACCCTGGCCAGCCGTTTTTGCAGGAATAAAACCTTCCCATGAGCTCCCTTAATAAATGGATGGTCGAGGAGATGCGTGACGGAAGGTCTCTTTTCAAAATCCTTAATAAGACACCTGTTTGTAAAAATCAACAAACAACCCAAAGTACAATGTTAGACACTCTGTTCCTCTGTGAATGTGGCAGAGAAGGGGCAAGAAGGCCTTATTTATACAAGTCGATCGCTGACCTTACCTAGCTCCTTCTTTATTAATATAGACCAGAAAGTAGAAAAAACAGCTAATATTCTCATATTAGTTGAGTTAATTGATATATCAGAAATCTATTTTAGATTGTTTAAAATTAGTATCGAAAGCACAAATTTTGCCATCAATTTGCTTTGAAGTATTCAAAACATTAAAAAAAATGTCAGACAATATTCTGTCTGATTTTTCATTATAGAAAAGTGTTTTTGATGGAGTCAAGTTGATTAATCTATATATTTTATTTTAGAAGCATATAGAATTAAATACCATCACCTCAATTAAATTTTAAAACATGAAACATCCATTATTCGGTGATAGGGAAATGCATCAAGGGCTTTGTAAGGCAGGGAACGTCTCTTAAAACACAGAAAATCCAGCAGCTTGATTTCAAACGTCTTCTGAAAAGCAGAACAACCTCAGAACAGGAAGTGACCACCATATCCTTCAGATGAATTGGGATGGGATTGTGCAAACAGGGAACAAAACATCCATTCAAAATGGTAAAAATTGGGTTGCATTTGAACTCTGCGGTTAATTGGTTAAAACCGCACCAGTGTAACCACTTTCTGTTTCAGACTCAGTGCCCTTTTCAAAGAAAACAATGACTTAGTGCATTTTGCTGTGTGTTCTTTGTTACTGAAAATGATTTTGACACAAGAAAATTCCTCATGAAATGGAATCTGATGAATACCTCTCCAATTACCATCGCATTTCTATTCTGAGGAGCTGCCCTTGGTGAGCAGAAGAAATTTCAACATTCGCCCTGTTAAGCTAACAGTCTTTAGCTCACCTTGAAGGCTTAGGATAAATACTAGAGGCCATTCTGCCTACTCCTTGAAATAAACAGCTTCAGTTTACCCAAATGTGGCATGCCAGTGACATCTAAAAAACACTACATATTTTAAATAATTAAATGCATCCACAAATGGTCAAAAAGTCCAGCATCCCCTCTAGCACCTTTCAGAACATTTAAGCAGGATTCCTAAAACCATCCTCAACCCTGGGATTTACAAAAAGAACTTTAATCTGTGCAGTTTTCACCGCAAAACTCTTTCACATTCCTCACCTTCTAGTCCTGGAGGATATTCAGTGACTTTCCCAGCAGGCTGAGGATTGGCTCAAGGACCCCCTGCCTCTTGCAGCTGGAGCTTGCAGCTAGAAGAGCAAACAGCACCTAGAGGATCCCCATCCTCTGCCCCCAGGACTATAAATGCCACCTCTACCTTGCCATCAGAGAAAATCAATCATTTGACTTTTATAGGTTCAGAGTCTTTTGAATAACCTATTATTTTCCCTATCAACAATACAAAATCAATGCACAGGCCTAAAAAAAGACTGGTCCTGTCTTTTTTTTATCAGCAGTCTTCCCTTGATGCCATGTCTATTCATCTGTCTATGTGACCACTGAAGGAAAATAAATGTGAATCACTGTTTCCTGAGAAGGAACCCCAGGGGTAGCTAGTTGATCAGTGATAAGGATGATGGCCAGTTTCCGTGGCTGGAGAGATGGTGTATGAAAACTTCTAAAATAAGAATGGTCACATGTCCTCTGAGGGTTTCTGCTGAAGAGAGACCTGGGGTTACACAACATCCCCTGGAGCCTCAGCAGGAACAACTGGAGCCCAGGATCTGCTGAATCCCCAGCTATAACTGCCCAGGGACAGTGGGCAGGTCACATCAAACAGGTTCCCAGACTGGAGTATCCCTATGCACAGGGACAGAAAACTCTCATAACAGCACTCACTCACACTTCTGGTTTTGCTTTCTTTCTGCATCAGCTTTGATGCTTCATCTAACTACCAGCAGGTACTTGTTGAAAAGGGGAAAAAGAGCAAAAGGACTGGGGCAGCCTCCTTCCCCGTGCCTAGCCCAGCATTTCAAATGAACAAACTTTTAGAGAGCTGGGGCTGAAAGGGAGACAAGTAGCCGTTTTTTTAAAAAATTCATAGCATGTGAAGGGGACAGTGGACCAAAGCAGCCTCCAGGGACAGGCGTCCTGGGAGCATCAAGGAGAGGACTGAAGACGGGTCCTTCCAGGCACTTTGATAAGGAAAACTCCTTAAATAGAATTTGAGAGCACCTAGGAATCCCCTACTCCACCCAGCCTTATGAGAATAGGTCTCTGCTGGGTGGAGGGATGCAGCTGCAGGTAGTGTATCTTGTTTCACAATATTAGCACCCACTGGACAAGCAAGGCTTCCAATGCTGTTGCCAGGTCATTTGGCTTGTTGGAGAGACTCTGGATCACAGAGAAAGAGAAATGTGTGAATAATGAAGAGAGAATCAGACAAGGAAGAAACCCACATGTGAATCTGTTGTCTCGTGGAGATCCAAAAACTGGAAGGGATGATCAAGAGGATTTGTCAGCTCTCCATGCTTACTTACTAAGCACAGAGTGGGCTGAATGTCACACCGTGGAATCAGCAAAACTGAAACTTGGTGTGTAGGGGGACAAACGCTAAGCAGTGTATGACAATCCAACTGCACTGGAGGGTTTTAGGGGAAGGGCAAGAAGGCCTTGAGGGTACGACACTCCTGTGTACTTTTTCCGCCTGGGGGCAAAGAGCCAGACTGAAGTGGAATTACTATTGTACTAACAGAGGAAAGTTCTCCTCTTGGAGCAGATATGGCTGAAAGTCATACTAGATAACAGCATTGTATTACTTCATTTACTCTGCAAACACTTATTCCACAGCACCAGAATTAGTCAAAATAAACTAATTCATTAAAAAAAATTATGACCCTTTTCCTCAAGGAACTATAATCTTATTGGAAAGACAGAAGAATCAGAGAAGCATAGGAAACAGAAAAAAGCCAGTGTTTGCTTACATATTTAGGATGAGAACTAATAACATGAAAACAGGATTTCAGAGACACAGGGACCAAGATATTCTATTCTAATCCTCTGTTTCAAGAGGTGAGAACTGAGGTCAAGTCCTGATAGTGATAAAGCCAATGCTCCAAGTCCCATGGGAGAACCCCTCTTGCTCTGCAAAGCAATATGGGGGTGGAGCTGTGTCAGGGGAGCTCCAGTCAGGCTGGTTAAAATGGAACCAGGACTGGGGGGACTGATGTAAATTAGATTGGTGGAAAAAAGGTAGAAGACATGTCAGAGTGGAGGAATCGCACAAAGCAATGCAGCCACCTAGGAACATCTAGGAGTAATCACTGGCTTTAGTCCCTCGATTAACTTTTTATTGCTTTATTGCTTAATACTATGCAATTTGATGCCCCAAACTCTTACTGTTTAAGTGTGTCAGTTCATCTTTGCATCTGACTTTCCTTCCAGGCAGGGATTTAGTGAATGAAGATAGAACTGACTACCAGCATCATCAGAACTCTGGACAGCCTCCTTGTTCTTTTTAAAAACAAGATAGAAACCGCTCACCTGATTTGGAGAACAAACGCAAAAGAAACAAAGTGGAGTATGTGTATTCATTTCAAAATTGCTAATTAAGCCACAAATTGCAAATTTCAGATGCAGAATATCTTCCCCAACCAGGGGCTGAGCAAATTTTTACAAAAGGATGAATAAAATAAAGGGCAAATAAAAGTTGTGGGAATGGGTGCCAACCCATGTGAGTCTAGCTGGACAAGGCATTCAGCAAAAGAAAAAGAGAGACAGAAAGAAACAAACCCGTTTCCTGGTCAAAGAAGTTTGAGAAACATTGGTGATCCTCTAAAAAAAAAAAAAAAAAAAAAAAAAAAAAAAGTGAGTTTGGAGTTTCATAATATACACAAGCATCTTAAAAGTTCTCACAAGTACTGAGGTTAAAAAAAGCCTCTTAATTTTGATTGAGACCATGTTTCAAACTTGACCACCACAGAACCTTGTTTTTTTATTTTTTCATCAATGGGTTTAGCAAATGACATCCTTAGAAGCTCTGCAGCCGGTGTTAGTAGAGTACTTTTAGAATGGGGGCAGAAATGAGCCTTCAGTTCAGTGGAAGAAGGGGAGAGGCACAGAGCCCTTAGTTAATGGTACATCTTGTGGGTTATTTGAGACAATGTCTCAAACAGGGAAGGACATCCTCAAGCTCAATTCCTCCCAGAGTTTTTAAATTCTAAATAGAAAATTAAACAGGAACTATCTTTAGGGAAATTGCTTTTGTCCCCCTAAATCATAAATAAATCTTTCATTTGCTGAATTTTTAATCTCTTTTTATAAAATTTAGGTCTAGATCAGTTTCTATGTACTAAGAGACAAAACAACAGAATAGAAAAACACATTATGCTGTCAGACATAGGTAAGAGACCCTGCATTTACAAGGCCATGGTGGGTGGTTTGAATATGATAGAAAAATCCACCACAAGAAAAAAGGAGCAAATTTCAGCCTTGAAGGAAATCAATCCATTACCTAATTTGAAATTCTAGTACTTTCCATCATGCTTTCTTGGCTGAAGATTAATTCTCAGAATTCATTAGTGTCACCACATTAAACACAGGTTGTTGCAACCATTTGCAGCTATCTCCCAGCCTGGCTTATGCCCAAAACAGGCAAAAGGGACATTTTTTTTAGCAAGAAGCAAGTGGAGCTGAAGGCGCCTGAGGGCCCCCCTCCTTGCAGACCATAATGCACTGTCGCTGTATAAACTGCCATTTCATAACCAAAAATCCGGATGCTGCAAGGGGGAGCTATTTATCAAGAGTCACAGGCTGATGTTTACCCGTGAATAAACGCTCTTGATATAGAGCAGCTGAAAAAGCAAAAACTAAAAATACTGGTGAACTTGATGAGAAAAGCGTGAGGAAAGGCAATCTCGTCCCACACAGCGGGGCAACACTAGATCAAAACTTGGGATTTATGTCTCTTCTCATTTCTTTATCAACATTCTGTCTTTCATACTTTCTGCAATTTTCTTGTAGGCTT